TCTGCTCATCACCGCCTTGTCCCTTCGGGTCTTGGCTTATGCCAGAGGTGCTGTTGCTTCCCCTTTTGGGGGGAGATGATTCTGGGTAGAACAGGAAAGAGAACGTGGCTCTTAATGCTTCACTGTCAAAAAAGTCCATTTTAGAGGGATCGTGTCCCTTGACCACACACTGTGGTTTGAAAGCCAGGAATAGCTCCTCGGCTGCTCTTACCTCCTCAGGGAAGGTGGGAGTGAAAACAGAGCTTAGTTGGGAAGTGGTTTTTTAAACCTATGTTTACAGTGTTTTGATGCCTCTTTCATAGATGAGGGAGGAATAGTGAAGTCTGGAGCTCAGATTTTTTAGGATTTCAGGGATGTAATATTTATCCCACTCTCCCCCATAGGGTGTGGTATAAGCTCGACTTGAAAATAGTTGTTCTGGTTTTTTTTTTTTCCACCCTGCTAGTCTTCCTGGCGTGCTGCTGCTATTTTGCTTCTTGAACCAGTGACTCAACCCTCACCTCAAACCTTGATTGCGTTTCACCTTTGAGAAAGGGACTTTTTAAAGCTGGGCTTTCCAGAACCGAGGAGCTAACTTGGGCCAAAATGGGCCAAAGCAAGGAGCATGTCCAGAACAAAACCAATCCAAACCCAGCAGTGCTCTCCTTGAAAAATGCTGCCTTCAAATCACACTGGAGCTGCAGAATGAGGAAGTCAACAAAGGAAGGAGCAAAGGCTCCTGAGTGGAGTTTGGGTGGGACAGGGAGGGAGGATGGAGGGGTTCTAGGGGTTCTGGGGCCTCAAGTATCCCCAAAGACTGGTGATAATGGTCAAGTGCACCGCAGTAAAGACGGGGGCATAGGAAGAGTGCTGGTGAATACTGTTGGTTTAAACTAGTGGTTCTCTAAGCATTCTCTGGACATGCAGGGTTGGCATTACCTGGAAATTCGTTAGAAATGCCAGTTACTGCACCCCATTCCAGACCTACTGAATCAGACACTCTGGGAGAAGGATCCCACATTGTTTTAACTTGCTCTCTTGATGATTCTGTCGCACACTGAATTCTAGAAACCTCTGCTTTGGGACGAGGGCATGAATTGAAGTCAGCCTGAAGGCCCAGCTAACACTGTTCTGCTCTCTCCTCACCAGGCCTCCCCCTTCTGGCCAGGCACCTAGAAAGCTTGTGTCCCTGGTCACAAATAGGGTGACAGGACATGGGGGTAGGTGTTTCAATGCAGAGTCACTTCACCACTGCAAAAAACCAAGTCTTTATGCAACAAAGAAAGGTCTTTCTTCCAGTGATGATTGCAAGATCAGTCAAAAAATTCCACGAGGGAATCGCTGCCCCTGGCTTAGCCACTGGGGGCCTTGTTCTCACCTAGGAAAACAACTGGTGGAATTTTACCATGTATCTAATGGTGAAGTGAGCGGGAATAGGAGATCTGGGTCCAAATCCAAGGCCTAACCTTTACCACCTGAGCTTCCTTGGACAAGTTCTGGTTTTTACCCCTTTGGAATGGGGTTAATGATACATGCCTCTTAGGCGTGGTGAGGGGCTGGTGGAGGTCATGTACAGTGTACCTGGCTCACAGCAGGCGCTTAATAAATAAAGGTTGTCATCGCTGGGCCCCTGGACGTCTCAGGATTGTTCAGGAAGGACCCCTGTAGGGGTATGTAGTGTACGTGGCCTTTTCCTTATCATGTTGTGATGGTAGAAATAAGAGGCAGGGGGAAATAGACTTTCTACTATAGGAAAAACCTATAGCTGCATTCTAATGACTTTAAGTCCCACACAACCCTTACATTGAATGATCTGCTAAGATACCTATGATCTAACTAGGAAAGCTATTTTTATGAGTTAAAATATCACGTTGGCAGATTCATTGTGATGCTTTGCTGTCAAAGAGTAATGTTAACATTTAATTTAAATTATTTTGAAGTATAACCCTGATAAGTGTAATTCCTATAAGTTCAGTTATTAGTGAGCATAATTACAAGACTGTAATTCTATTGGACTGTTGAAGTGTCTGGCAGCTTTATAAAAATGATTCCCTTATGGATGAAGAGGTCTTTTGGATTAAAAGGAGGCTTATTTTTATGTTATTCGGTGACCCGTGATTTGGATTGATGAGTTAGAGGTTTTTACTGCCCCTAAAATCCTCTGCCCCCTTTCCTCGAGCTATTGCCAACCAATTATCATTTCTAAGATGATCATAAAAAACGAACAGAGGAAAGAATTCTGACAGCCTCTCCCCCTGTTTTTAAGTGGGAGTTTTCCAGCAGAATGAGAAATATCAGCTCTTATTGTCTTTTCAGTATGTCAAACAGCCTCATTTAATCCCATGCTTGACCGGCTATGGGGCCGAGGAGCTGCAGAGTCTTGTGTCACAGGCTTCGTGGGAAAGCGTGAGGGTTCCGGGCACCACAGACCGTGACGTCGTTAACTTGAGTTTTCTTCTTTAATGAGAATAACAACGGGCTTTGCAAGCTGATTGAGAGTCTCCCGGTCTAACTGCAGAAGAGTTTAATACCCATGAAGTGCGAGTTAGAAAAATGGACTTTCTCAGAACGGTAAATAAACCGAGGAGCCTGCAGACCAAATTGAAGTCTGTAGCCTGGAAAATCAACAAGGACTAAAAATAGCAAGATGAGAGGTGACATTCAACTGTGAACCAAGGTGGTTTTTCAGTACCACCAAAGAAGCCAGGTCATGATAGGACAGGTTTGAGAATATATACACAGTCTCTGCTTACCCCTGAGGCTTTCATGGCAACTGCCAAGTGACCACCACTTGCACTGGCTGTGCGCGTGGCCCTGTCACCTGTAAGTCAGTGTTACCCCATTAAAAATTTCAGAAGCTGTCTGACTATCTCTCTCTCTCTCTCTCTCTCTCTCTCTCTTTCTCTCTCTCTCTCTCTCTGCATCTATGTCTAGAGAATGTTTTCAATTCCGAGGTTTGTTGCACTATAGGTTTTTATGAACTGCAGTTTTCTCTTTCTCTTGTAACATGGTTTGCACTATCTGGAACGGGAGGGGGGTAGTTAAGAAATCCTCCAATCAACAACACAGATGGTGATGGTGAGGGGAATGCCCTTGTATGGGTGTACAATGCTTTAGGGATGTTTTAATAACCTGAGCAGTTGCCTTTGATAGGCAGGCTTTGTTTTCTGCTCATTATTACTGACTTTCTAGGCCAGATTTTATTCCTTTTATCACTAACTCAAGTGCAGAGCTCTATAGAAGGACGCGCTGTCTGCATGTCAGTGCTCTCCTACCTGCTCGGGTACAGAGAAAAGGAGAGGAGAAGGGCAAGGGGGTGACAAAGACCCCAAGTTAGCCGAATTCTGGTGAAATGAGAATTTCAGCACCAACAGTTATTGCTAGCCGGGCCTGGCGAGGGCCTGGGAATTGCCCCGCTTCTCACATGCGCGGCCTCTTCCCCTTTCCTGTGATGCAGAGTGCCTTCGGGGTGCTCGAGGAACGTTCAGTCTTGGAGTTCTTTTGCTCCCATGGCTTGTTTTTGTCCTTAGGGCCTTCATGTTTGTAGCCTGTGGAGTCTTTGTAGCATTGAAACAACATCACAACCCTAAATGAAATTTGGATGATTTATTTCCAAATCTGCCCCCCCTCCCCCCAAACAATCTCAGGACTGTGGAAGCAATATGGCGGAAAGGCACACATCCTATTTGAATGGAAATAATATATGTGGGTATGGCCGTAGGGCTTTGTGTTTATTACAAAAATGCAATCTCCTTTTTTTTTATCCTTGGGGCTAGTTATCCACTTTTGTTGTTCTGATAATAAGAAAGAAATGCCAAACAAGTTGAAATAATTGAAAACGCCCACATTCAACACAACAATTTGTTTGAATCCATCCAGTTTTCCACTCTTGTTTGATGTTCAGGTGCTTATAAAAAAGTGGACAGGAATTGTGGGTGGCATTTTCCTTTGAAATGTAGGACTTGTAGTTAAGAAGTAGATTCCTCATTAGGAAATATGTAATTATTCATTTGATTAGCTCTGTATATCATGTCTTGAAACTATTTGGAGTACCGTAGGAGCATCTGTTCTACCACCAGATGGAGGCAGCTAGGTCGTTTCAGAATAAACTCCAAATGCCTTGACAAACGTAGTTAGACGTAGCCTGATGTAGGGAGCACTACATCATTACCTAGCTATTCTTTGTCTTGGCTTCACATCAGTAAATTGATACTCTCAACTACATCTAAGGTGTTCTTCTGGTGGGGGGAGGGATTTGTTTTTTATTGAGTCTTGGGTTTCCTCTTATTTAATGAATAGCGACAATTGTCATTTTCCACTTCAAACAATTGCATCAGTGGTTTTATAAATAGTAAATCCTTTTCCAGGTGGACTTGAGTCTGTGTTGGCAGCCATTTTATATACATGGCCTCACATAAATGGCCAGGACTTTGAATGTGTAAACAGGCAAGTTTTCAGGCAATTTATGTAGGCTTTCCAATCTCGCCTTTCCATTTCCTGTCTAAACAGCTTCTCCCATGTCCACAGCATGTTTATGCACCATTGAATAAAACTTCTAATGGGAAATTTCTTCCAGGTGACCTCCCTGAGAAGCTGGACTGTGAAGAAATCTTAAGAAACCCGACCCTGATGAAATTGCCTGTTGAGAATATTACTCCGTGCAGAGACAAGGAACAGAATTCAGTTATTTTTGGTTCTTGAATAAATGAGTTCTGTTTCTTTTTGTGTGGGTGGCAGAAAACATTAACCCCTGCAGAAGGTCCACTCTCAGTTGGAAATTGAACTTTGGTTTCTTTGAGTTAGGAGAACCTTGGAAGAAGAGAATGTTAAATTGTTTTTATTTACCTCAAGCAACTTGGAATTGGTTCTGCTGTCTGCATATCTATTATAGATGTCTCTTTCCCAGGGTTGTCTGTCTTCACAATGAATTTTCTGGAGGCCGGGGCAGTGATTATCAAATGACCTCCAACTTGGCACCATGTGTGGGTGGATACTAATGAATCCTTTCTTAACCTTCCTAGCACTTTTGGAGAAATCAATCAGTAGAAGGCGGGACATTGAAGCCATCCAGAAAGCCAAAGTCCTTTATTCCTCTTGCATGAATGAGAGTGAGTAATAAAGCAAATAAATAAAATATTTATCACATTTCTTCTTAATGTTTAAAGATAATGTTGAAGAAAAAAAGCAATGAAGAATTCTGTCAATGTTTAAAAGTGTTGTTGAAGGAAAAGAACAATTCTCTGGGTTTTAACCAACCCTGTCTTAGTTAATATTCTGTGGTTGGTTTGATGGGGAAAATTTTATTTCTATGACTTGGATTTTTGGGGTATCAATTACACCACAAGAAACTTGGGTGGATCCAGAAGGGTAATCCCCACTGGTATGGTACAGAAGCCAGAATGCAGAGACCAGCTCTGCTCTGAGGAGCCTCGGAGAGGACACTTGGGAGTGTTGCTATGTCCCAACTGGGGCCTAGAGAAATACAGAATCTCAGGTGGACCAGGCTCCTCCTGCTTCTTCAGCTGCCTGACAGACATCTTTGTTGGGTGTCTTAGGTCTGTTTCAGCATCTTGGGTCTGACTGGAGTTAAAAGAGACACTTGCCTTTTCATTTGATCTGCTTTTTGAGAGATATTGCAGGAAGAAGCTAGTGTTCCCTTGAAGTCTGTTGGCTAGTTTAGGATTTGGGGTATTATTTGGTGAGCTAGAAGAGGGCAGTAAAAGATGATGAGAGGGTCTTACGCATGCATCACTTTCATCCGGGAGTGACTGGCTTTGTCGAGCAGTTTCCTTTAGTTAGGGTTGTTGTTTAGTCTCACAGGGTGTTATCAGCCTATCATCTTGTTGACTGCCGTCAATGCAGTGAACCCGTCTTTTACTGTAGGCGATATCCAGCAGGCTTCCTAGTCAGCTCTCCTGGCAAGAGCCCCAGGTTTTGGTAGTCACATTGACGTGTGAGTCACAGGTAGTTCTGGCTCTGTGGTTGTATTCATTCTAACCCACGTTTCCCCAACAGCGGGAATGTTGAGGCAGGGTCTTCAGAGTATTTTCTCTTGAGCAGATGCACTTGAACTCTGGTTTGGTGATCCAGTTTGCAATTCTAACTCTCCCCTCCTACCTGCTCCCTTCCAGAAGCAATAGAAAAAGCAGATGCCAAGCCATTGCTCCACATCCTTCGGCATTCACCTTTCCGCTGGCCTGTGCTGGAATCCAACATCGGTCCTGAAGGGGTTTGGTCAGAGAGAAAGTTCAGCCTTCTGCAGACTCTCGCCACATTTCGTGGTCAATACAGCAATTCTGTATTCATCCGTTTGTATGTGTCCCCTGATGACAAGATGTCCAAGGAACACATCTTGAAGGTACAGTGAGGCCTCGTTCATCGTGTTTAGTCCAAGATTACATTTACTGGGGGGGCGGGGGGAGGGTGCCTTCCCCGGGAAAGAGACTCATACTACCTTAGTTAAATGGTAACTTAAAAGTTCTCTTTAGTAGGGTCTGGGCTATGCCCCAAACCCCAGGCATTGCAGAATGTAACTTCTGAACAGCTCAGTTCTGTCAGCCTTTCAGGAAGCTGATCAGTGAGTTTCAAGTGATCTGTAACCTGGCCCTCAAATATCTACACAGAGCATGGGGGAGGGTGGTGCCCTGAACAGAGGAGAGAACATGGGCTGGGGGGTTCCCTGTTCCCTTTCCACTAACGTCCTGTGTACTGGCCAAGACTTTAAGTATCAAGTTCTTTGGGAATCTCTCCCCCTTCCTTTCCAAAGATAAAGCAAAACTTGTTCCAAGTGTTTCATTGTGTTTTCTGCTGGGAGAGTAAGCATCTCTTGCAGAATGAAGTGGGCCAGGTAGACAGACCCTGAGGTAAGTGATTATATTGGGACAATCAGGAGACTATCAGGGAACTACCAACAATGAAAGATTAATCAGTGCAAGACCTTGGCAAGAATTCAAATAACATTTTTCAATTGGTTGATGTGGTTGATCCTGCAGTTCCTTTTTCTTGCTTCTCTCGTTTCTTTGAGTAATTATGAAAAATTTGAGCCATTGATTTTTTTCTCCCCTAATTCTCCCCTTTGTCAAACCAGAAAATATTAATGATATACTGGTATTCAAATTGCATAAAACCTGTCGAGTGTATTCCTCTCTCCGATACCAGCCAACTTTCCCAAATCTGCATTCCAGAGTTTATTTTGGGGGGCTGCCAGGGTCTGGCATTTTTTCTGGAAAGGACCAGATAGTATATACTTAAGCTGTGCGGGTCATATGCTGTTCTAGCCCTTGTGGCCCCTTCACGTGCCCTTCCCGGCTGCTGGGACCCTGGGCTTCCCCTTGCTCTCAAATCACGTCCCTTCTGGAGGGCAGTGACTGGTCCCTCAGCTCGCGAGACTCTTTGACTTCTCCCCCTTTGTGCTCTGGGGGAACACTCTCTCCTACCACAGACTTTCCTCCCTCAATGCACTGAGACTTTCTTTTCCATCAGGTTCTGTTTTCCTCAATGTTCTTAGTTTTTCTAATGCCGTAAAATCATGGCGATAAGAAAAGACCCGCCCCCCCTCCTGGCCCCAGGCAGGCACAGCATAGCGGATGTATAGCTGGGTGAGCAGGTGGCACCCCTGGGTGAAGAGAAAGGCACATGCTTCCAAAGGGCCATGTGCCCCTACATCAAGGACACACAGCGTGGCAAGCAGGGGTGGCTCAGGCCCACATGATGTCCCTCTGCGAAACTCCCTGTGGTGAGATGGCACGGGATTCTCCGCAGGCGTGAATGGAGGAAGGAAATACAAAAAATACAGGAAACAACAGAAGCTGATGGCCACAAACCTGTCTTGCTATGGGTGTTTGTGCTTATTTTATGGAAGGAGATAACAAGAGTGTGGATTTAAGGCACGATGAAAGTTTTGAATATATGTGATGCCCAAAGAGTGTTTGGAAGGCAAGGGTTGTTTCAGAATGTGTTACTGAAAGAGTGATTTACAGTTATCTTCAGTCGGGCCCGCATTTGTCTGTCTTGGAGCAAAATCCAATGGCAAGGAGAGACTGTCTTGGAAATGAAGCTTTTCTTATGTCTGTCTCTTCCTTTCCTACATCAAGTGTCATCAGATGTTTCTGGTCGTATTACCGCTTTGTTTCATCATTTGAGGTTTACTGTCATTGGAGGACAAAATTTGAATTTTGACCTCAATGAATTGGATTTTCTAAAAACATATTTTACCATTAGCTTGCAGTGTTCAGATCATTTGTGCATGCAAGGATTAAAAATCCCCAAATCACACAGTGTCCTAATGTTGGCCCCTTGAGAACATCTTGTGCCTCAAGAGTTTGTATGTTTCTAATGACATGGAGTCGACTGACCTTATTCGGTGTGTTTGGTGTATCTAAAATGTTCTCTGGAAACTGTAACAATCTGGTGGTTTAGAAAAAGTCTAGTAGCTTCACTTGAATTATCTAAACTTACAATAAGTGGGTTTCGCTTCATCAGATGGAAACTCTGGCTTTCTTGACATTGCCTACAATTCCCTTTCCTATGAGATTGATGCTTGAAATATTTTCCAAGTGGCGCAAATATAATTGAAAGCCAAAGAATCTTAATCATAATACTGTTTCATAATCCTGGTTTTCTTAATTTTTGGAAGAAATGGTGGTAGATAGGGAATTGCAGTAGGATGAAGCCAGGTTGGCTTATGAATTGGTTGTTTTGGGCTAATTAGAGAGAAAGAGAGCGAACACAATAATCTGAGGATTTTAACGACACAGACAAGATGGATGTTATAAAAACACCATTTCCCCCCTTGAAACAGAGCTATATATTTTCCTTGAATTTTTCATAGCATCACTAACTCTTAGCTTGGTTTTTACAGAAGTTGTGTGTAAAGGAGAGATTTTTCATGGGAAACTATGATTCTGTACAGATTTTATACATTAAAAAAGAAAATATTTGCCTTTTGGCCAGAGCCGCCATCTTCCCATAAGTCACCAAGATTACCTTCGCAAAGGGAAAGAGGAGAGGCCGCTGCTGTATGCTCTCTAGGCCTTGTAGAAAACATTCCGACATCTGTGAGAATCTGAAGGAAGGTGATATAGATACCAAGGGGATGGACACTGTTCAAAAAGAATGACCCACATCAAAACTGAAAGTGTCTACAATGTTAACCAGCATGTATTTGGCATTGCTGTACACAAGTAAAGGGCAAGATTTTTTTTTTAATACAAGAGCAGGGATACAGGCCAGAGGCATGGGAGAGTGAGAGGATTCACCAGAGACAGAGCGGGGGACAGAACAGGCAGACTGACAAAATATACTGCTGAGGGGAGCAGCGGGCAAGACAGGAGTGGTCTGCTGTGCCATGTGGGATTCTCGCTGGCTGGCCGGGATTGAACCCGCGCTGCGGAGGCTGGGGACAGCTTCACTGCGTGGTATTCAACCCGCTGTGCCACCAGGGAGGCCCAAAGGGCAAGATTTTTGCCAAGAGAATTAGTGTTCGTATTGAGCATGTTAAGCTCTCTAAGAGCCAACATAGCTTCCTGAAACGCGTGAAAGAAAATGGTCAGGAAAAAAAAAAAAGGAAGCCAAAGAGAAAAGTACTTGGGTACCTGCCTACTCCACCCAGAGAAGCTCACTTTGTTAGAACCCACGGAAAGGAGCCTGAGCTTCTGGAACCCATTCCCTGTGAATTATGCCATGATAGGTGTGAAAAAAGACCTCTGGACTAGCAATAAAAAGAGAACATTTGAGATTTTAGTAAGATGAAGAAGAGACTAGAGAAGATAGATCAAACAATCTAAAGTTGTATAGACTAATGAGGCAGGCATGTAGGATCCAGTTTTTTTATTCAGATGCTTCCAATTTTTGATTTGTAATTTAGATTTCATATCCTGTTATTTTGACTTAACTTTTAAATGTGTGAATCAGATTTAAATAAGAAAATCTGTTGGGATCCATTTTATTCAGTCTTTAAGTGGTTGCTGGTATTCAAGAGAGAACATGCCATATTGAGAGAAGGTTCTGGATAGTTTTAATGCATTTATTTTAGTTTGCATATAGTTAGCTCACTTCATGATGGACATGTCTGCAAGTTTTGACAAATGTGCAGTCATGTCATGACCACCATATTCAAGCAGAGTAGTTTCACCACCTCCTCCCAGATTCTTATTTCCCCTTTGGAGTCAGTCATTCTCCCTATCCCATCACCCTATTCTCTACCCGTAGTTCTGCCTTTCTCATTGTATGATCAAAATTTGTCTGTATTGTGGCGTGTATCAGTAGTTCATTCTTATTTATTTATTTATTATTATTTTTTTTTTATTTTTTTTTTTTTATTTATTTATACAAGCACTGGGTACAGTCAGAAGCGTGGGAGGGTGAGAGAATTCACAGAGCCAGAGCTGGGAGCAGAGCAGGCAGAAGGACCGAAGTACACTGCTGAGGGGAGCAGCGGGCGGCAGGAGAGGTCTGCGCACCACGTGGGACCCTCCTCAGGTGGCCAGGGAGCAGCCAGGGATTGAACTGGCGCTGCAGAGGCTGGGGGCAGCTTTGCAATCCAGCGCTCAACCGCTGCGCCACCGGGGAGGCCCTATTATTATTTTTTAAAGATTTATTTATACAAGCACTGGGTACAGTCAAAAGTGCGGGAGGGTGAGAGAATTCACCAAAGTGGGGAACAGAATAGGCAGACTGACGGAATACAGTGCTAAGAGGAGCAGCGGGTGCGGCAAGAGAGGTCTGCGTGCCATGTGGGACCCTCACCAGCGGCCAGGGATCGAACCGGCGCTGCTGAGGCTGCGGGCAGCTACGCAGCCCAGCGCTCAACTGCTGCGCCACCAGGGGAGGCCCAGTTCATTCTTATTTAGAACTTAGAACCATTCAGTTGTGTATCACACTCTCTGTCTACCAGCTAAAGAGCATCTGGGTTGTTTCCAGTTGTTGGCAATTACACATTAAATTACATACAGGTTTTTGTATTAGCATAAGTTTTCATTTCTCTTGGATAACTACCTAGAATAGGATTATTTGGTCATATGTGAGTGTGTGTTTAACTGGTTTCTGATGTGACTGTGCCATTTGCATTCCGATGAGCAATGAATGAGTGATCTGCTTTTTCTACCTACTCTCCAGCACTAAGGATTTCAGGGTTTTTTTTAACCCCCATTTTAATATATATGTAGTAGTGTTTTACTGTGGCTTTAATTTATATTTTCCTAAGGACTAGTGACGTTGAGCATCTTTTCATGTGCTTATTTTCCATCTGTATATTTTTAGTGAAATGTCCAGATCTTTTGCCCACTTATAAATTAGGTTATTATTGTTGAGTTTTGAGGGCTCTTTATATATTTGGGTACCAGTTCTTTTTCATACTTGTGATTATCAGATATCCTTTTCTCTATAGCTTGTCTTTTCATTCCCCCAACAGCTGCTCTTTTACAGAACAAGTGTTTTTAGTGTTGATGAAGGTCAATTTGTGGATCATGATTTGGGTATATGTCTAAGAGCTCTTTGTCCAAGTCACAGAGATTGCTCCTTATATTTTTTTCTAGAAGTTTTATAGTTTTAGGCTTTACACTTAGATATGTGCTCTATTTTTTATACGTGGTATGAGTTACAGATTGGGGTTCATTTGGGGGCATATATATGTCCAGTGGTTCCAGCACATCTGGTGGCCTTTAAGGTGCTGAAAGTTTTCATTTAAGAAATTATATGCTATACTTCTACATAATAATAATTCTTCTTAGGGCCTCCCCGGTGGCGCAGCGGTTGAGCGCTGGGTTGCGAAGCTGCCCGCAGGCTCTGCAGCGCCGGTTCGATCCCCAGCTGCTCCCCGGCCACCGGAGGAGGGTCCCACATGGCGCGCAGACCTCTCCTGCCGCCCGCTGCTCCCCTCAGCAGTGTCCTTCGGTCCTTCTGCCTGCTCTGCTCCCCGCTCTGGCTCGGTGAATTCTCTCACCCTCCTGCGCTTCTGACTGTACCCAGTGCTTGTATAAATAAATAAATAAATCTTTAAAAAAATAATTCTTCTTCTTAGTTGTTTGATTATTATTTATAATAATATTATATCCTAAACTTTCCAAGAAGTGTTCTGAAATTTGCAAAGATTTCCCAAAACAAAATTCATAAAAATATTAATACAGTTCCATATTTTAGGAGTTGGAAGGTAGAAATTCTGAGTGACCAGCACTGTCCAGATGGAATTTTGCAAAATACTGCAATAAGAATATGAGATCTGGAGACAGGTTTAATGATTCTCCTCTGAGCTCTGCCTGATCCTATTAATTTGGGAAAGCCAGTCACGTCTCTGGCTTTTGTTTTCCCACCCATTAAATAAGTGGGACACCAGGTAAGATATTCCACCCAATTTACCCAAAGGACACAGAAATATTAATTCCAAAGAGCACCTGCACCCCTATGTTTATAGCAACACTGTTTACAATAGCTAAACTTTGGAAACAACCCAAATGCCCAAAAATAGATGACTGGATCAAGAAAATGTGGTCCATATACATCATGGAATATTACTCAGCAATCAAAAAAGATAAATATGCAATTTGCAGCAACATGGATGGAGCTAGAAGGGATCATGCTCAGCGCAATAAGCCAGAAAAAAAAAAAGAAAAATACCGGATGGTCTCACTCATAGCAGGAATCTAGAAAACCTAAAAAAGGGACCAGGAAAAAGAATAACTATAAGAAAGAAAAAAATCAAAATCAACAAACAACTACGAACCAGAGACACACTTGGGGAGGGGGCGGTGCGGGGAAAGAAGGGATTGGGTCAAAATCAGGGGGTTGCAACTGTATGGGGAATATAAAAATAAAAATAAAAATAAAAAAAAAGGTATTCCACCCAAATAACTTGGATGCTCTTCAGTTTTTGATAGAACCTCAACAGGAATAGAAACCATGCATCGGGGAAGCCGGAGCAGGTGTCTGATACTTTATAATATCTGTCATCACTGATGAGTCTATTTACATGTAGCTCTGACAATAGTAAAATGTTTTTGTAATGGGGACGCAAGGTCAACACGTGGTGGGGACACAGATAATCTCATGGGTCTTGTTAACACGCTCCGTAAGAATTCCCAGTGCAAGTAGAATGCTTTGTTTTTATTTCGACAGTTGGACCAAGCCACACTCTCCCTGGCGGTGAGGGAAGACTACCTTGAAAATAGCACAGAAGCCAAGTCTGTAAGTTTCATTCAACTCTGTGCCTTGTCAGGCTGCTGTTGGGGTCACAAGTTGTTCCAAAATCCCCTGACTTTACCGGTGATGAGCAGAGTGGCTATCTGATAACTATATCCCTAGTGCGGGAAGCAAAGGCCTTTTATTCATGCAGATAAAGGCCATTCTCTGTTTTCTGGAGGTCTGGGCATCAAGGCTGTGCAAGCCCGCATGCTCAGTGCCCTCATGGTCGGGCTGCGGAGATAGCACACTCACGTGAAATAACCAGAAATGAGCCTGCGGCCATTCCCCAGCGGCGCGGGGATCACGCCCACGGCCCTAGTACAGCCAGGGCGGTGATGGTGAGTGCCCACCTACTAATGGTTCTCAAACTGTAGTGCTTAAGAATTGCCTGGGGGCTTCTATTACATGTCCATTCTCGGGCCATAGCGCTGGAGAGGGTGATGGAGTAGACTGGAAGTGGGGGACCAGGAATGCGTTGCCTTAATAGGTGCTCCAGGCTAACAGAAGATTATTGAGAACCAAATCAGTCAGGTTAGACTACCCTGGAAACCTGGTACTGAGGTTCCCTGGAGACTGGATTAGAGCTGGCTGAGCTTTGGTGAACTTCCAGAGGAACCTTATACCCCAGGATCCCCAGACCAGGACCTCTCTGGCTTCTGGCGCATCCGGAGAGTGCATGAAGTCAGACTGGAAAGTGCCGACTCACAGTAAGAAGTCCCTGCTCCTGGCTGCCTCTAATCCCTAGAAGGCTCTGGAAAGCAGGACACTAGTCAAGATCTGAGGCAACTCTCTGGTTGAGGACACTCAGCAAAGAGGGTTGGTGTGCTGCTTTTCTTGACAGTGAATAGAATGAACTTTTGTCAATCTGGGGGCACCTCTATTTCTGCTGAGGTCAAAACAGCAACTAGGCTTAGAATCTTCTTTTCCTCCACTCCCCACACCCAAACCAGTCACCCAAGCCCTGTGTATTCTACCTGCAAAATATCTCTTCTACCTGGTGCCTCCTTTCTAGTCTCACTCCCCTGGGCCAGACCATCATTAACTCTCCACTTGATTCCAGCAAATAGCCTTGGAACTGTCCCCACCTCTTCTTTATTCCAAGGTGTCCCCAGCATGCTTTTCCTCACAAGCTGTGATCTACATTCCTCAGAGGGAGTTCAGGGCCTCTTCATGAGCCCAAATCACCTTTGCTGGCTCATCTACTTTTATTCTTTCCCCCACAAAGGCAGCTCGCCCCCTCACTGGAGGACTCCTTACTGCTTCTGAAGCTCTCGCAGGCTATGTCCTCAGTTTCCCCAAGCTGGAATCCTTCTCCCGCACTTGTGTTTCCAAGCACTTAGCAGATTCATTAAAGAACTTATTTTGGTCTCCGAATGTTCCAGTTAGTAATTACACGTTTATCTCCCTCCCTGGATCACACACTGAGAACTAGGCTCAAGCATTATTTCATTTTTCATCTGTACTCCCCGCCACCCCCAGACGCACAGAATGCCTAGCAAGACATTTTGCACATGCATTGACTGAACAAACATTGCTCGAATTGAACTGGGAATTGCAAAACATTGTGTCTAATTATGACTATTTGCAAGGCTTCTTAGTGAGCGAACGAATATTTATTAAGGGCCTGCTATGTGCCAAGCACTGTGTAGGTCTCACGGTCATAGACATAGTCAGCCTAGCTGACAGGGTCAAGGTACATGGCAAGGAAGTCTTATTTTCCTCCCATAAATATGAGAAAATTTAATACCCGATGTATTGAGTTCTCACAACTCTATCTGACAGGAGAGGTGACCCCCCAACTAGATTCCTCAATTCCCATGTGGTAAGGTCCCCACTCCAATGACATATGCATCACCTGAAAGTGGGTTTAGAGCACACAGGGAGGAAATTTCTTGTCCTCCTCCTCCTGACAACTGGGAGGGCAGGGCCTGCACCGCCTGGTCTTTAGCTTCTTAGGGTGAAGGTGGGTCAGTGGAGCTGGAAGAGAATGAATCGCAGTCCCCGCCCATTTTTCTGGATCATGCCTCCTGCCTTTAGCGGCAGTTCTTTCCCATTATTTTATTAAAGCTTCCCTCGCCCGGAAAGAAGACTTCTGACCTTGAACTTTCTGTTCTGGGCTCGTTGGCGATGTTTCATGTACGCTATCACTGGTGGCTAGAAAACTAGTTCTTTCGATCCTTGCTGGCTGGACAGCCGCATCTCCCATGAAAACGGCACCCACGTAGCCGTCACTCTGCTTTCTCCAGAGCGGGGGGTCGGGCTTGCACACTACGTGTGCACACTTGGAGTACAGAGTGAACACGAAGGGCGTTTATTTCCACCCATTGTTTCTGATCTTCTGTGGCTCTGAAACGTAATTCCTAGTGGTCTGCTGTAGGGTCACTGGCTGCTCTTTCTCTCGTAGTATCGGGATGCCCTTTACAAGTTCATGGTGGACACTGCCGTGCTTTTGGGAGCTAACCGATCCCGAGCAGAGCATGACATGAAGTCCGTGCTGAAATTGGAAATTAAGGTAGCAGAGGTGAGTCTTCATTGAAAGTCTCTTTCTTTTCTTTCCCTTATTTTAAAGGCAGTATGTCGCGAATGAAAATATACGCCGTAGTTTTTTGTGGCCTCGCCCCACCCTGACTCCCAGGTAGAACGTCTCTCTGGGAAGAACCGTGACAGAAAGAACAGCTCTACGTTCCTCCACCTCCCTGCTTGAAGGCCATCCGGTGTCCACATGCTGCTCAGCTGGGGCCAAAGAACAGAGACAGGGAGACCCTGTGACTATATTTTCCCAGAGAAACTCCCCTGTGGCTCCAGTAGAAGAATATTTAATACATTTTTACTGATTGGGCTTGAGTGAAAGGTTATTTTTAATCTGGTATATTCTACATCATTCCCACTTGGGGTCAGTCTGACTTAAGATCTGGGCATAGTCCACCCATACTGGGCAGACTTGATGTAGCCAGAGTATATCGATGCTGCTAAGTGGGTTTTGATTTTTTTTTTTTTGTCTTTCTGCTTCTACATTGTACCTAGTCCTGTTTTTCATTCTTTTCTTATCCCACTTAAATGAATGTCTTTGTATCATATGCCATGTTCTCTGTAAGTTGTTTTTTTTTTTAAGGATTTATTTATTTATACATACACGAACTGGGGTTTAAGCCAGAGGTACCGGGGTGAGAGGATTCACCAGAAACAGTGGATCTACTGAAATACACTGCTGAGGGGAGCAGCGGCGAGGCAGGAGAGGTCTGCCGCGCCATGTGGGTTGCTTCCTGGCCTGCTGGGGATTGAGCTCATGCTGCAATGACTGACGATAGTTTGCTAGCACTGTGTCTTCAATCACTGCGCCACCAGGGAGGACCCCTCCATAAATAATTTTAAATTCCTTTAGGGTCATGGTTGGGGTAAAGGGTAAAAGTTAGGAGGAATTAGTCTCCCTTAGCTGCAGTGATGTATATGCATAGTTTTCTCCAAGTTTCTCCAAGTTCCTTTCTGCATGTCACCTTGGAAGACTGTGTGAAGATGGTTCCAGATGTGGAATCAAAGACTGGGCCTCTAAGCCTTGGATAGAGATCCGCATTCCCTGCCCAGGCAAATAGGAGACCCAGAGCTCTAATTTGGACTGAAGTTCTGATATAGCTGGGAAAGCCTTGCCCTGAACCAGGGAATTTGCACCAAAAAGGGACTAAAAACAGCTGGACTGAGGCAAGACTGGGAATTGTCAAGAGGCTAGATGAAGTGACGAATCCATGGGCTCAGGGAGGAGGAGGGTAGCTGGCAGACAGCTAACAACAGCTCTGAGGCCAAAGGGTTCCCACTTGAGGCTCTGAGTCCAAGTAGAGGGAGGAGGAGAGAGTCTCTAAGGCAGCGATTCTGGTGTAGAGCCAGGGAGCTGTTGGCAAGATCCTGGGAGTGTCTCCTGTGGAGGCTTAGGAGGGACAAGCTGAGGACACTGAAGCTCTTAAAAAAGAGGGGCAGGTGCCTGTCACTCAGGCCTCTTGGCTTTACCTCAAAAAAATCCACGGTGGGGCCTCCCCGGTGGTGCAGCGGGTTGAGCGCGGTGCTGTGATGCTGCCCACAGCCTCTACAGTGTGGGTTCGAGCCCAGGCTGGCCAGGGAGATTCCCACATGGCGCAGCAGACCTCTCCTGCTCACCCTCTGCTCCCCTCAGCAGTGTTTTCGGTCCATCTGCCTGTTCTGCTCCCCGCTCTGTCTCTGGTGAATCCTCTCACGCTCCCGCACATCTGGCCTGTACCCCAGCTCTTGTATGCATCAATAAATACATCTTTTAAAAAAGTCCACGGTGCATGACTTTTTTGCCAGCTAATATGCTCACCTCCGTCTCTTATACCCCAGTTCTCTAGGGACATTCAAAATGAGTGGGATACATAGTTCTAGGGAAACCCATGAAGCTCAGGAGAGCACACAGCCTAGTGTAGCATAAAGGAGCGTCTATGAATAGTCATGGAAGTGTTCATTTAACCAACCCAGCAAGAGAGGTGTGTGCCACGGGGCGATCTTGCTGACAGAGTGATCCCTGGGTTGGAGTCAGGTGCAGTTTTGTTGGAAAGTTCTTGACAAAGAGAATGAATCTCGGGCAAAGTCTTTAATGATAGCTCAAACAATGGTGAATGGGGTTTCCAGGTAGGGGAGTCTTGGGGGCAGTGGAAGTTGGCAAGTTAAATGCAAGGGAATCAGATGAGGGAGGGTGTAAGGGCCAAGTCACAACATGGGTATGGGCAGCTGCTGCCTGTTCATGGAAGCCATGAAGGGGGCCCTTGAGGAAGATGTGATCGCCGCTCTTCTTAGATTAGACAAAACGTGGCAGAGGTGAGAAGTGTAGCTTTGGTGTTGGCGAACTGGCAAGAGCATGGGGAACGGGAGTTGTGGGGAGCCAGCACTGGCGATGCGGTCCTGGAAATGAGGATCCACACCCCCAGTAGTGGGGCTGGGTCATCGCAAGGCGAGAAAACCCAGAGGGCAGAGGAGAGCTGAAGGAACGAGCCATTGACAGAATGATCGTGGGTGGCAGTGGTGGCAGAGAATCTGGTACTCTGCAGTGACAACGTGCCCGTAAGAATGAAAGGCTGGTCCAGGAACAGCGAGGTCATTATCCGGGCACCATTTCCGGACAGGGGAAGGTGGGTTGTTCGCCTCAGTTGCCCAGTCTCAGTTTGGTGGTGAAACCTGAGCTGGTCGCCAGTTCTGCCCATCCACATTATGGGTGAGGAGGGGCTTCGGCCGCTGCTTTTTCTGGGAGCAGTGTTTCCTACTGAACGGGGAAAGAAAGTTTCTTTTTACTTCCTTGATCTTGCCTAAAGTGATGTCTTTCTCTCTCTCTCCTAAGTGGCACACCACCCCAAGGTTTTGAAAAGCTTCCCGATGCTGTGCAGGTGTGTGGGCCCGTGGAGAAAGTAGTCTTGCAGTGAAGAAATGGTTCATTGAAAACATAACCTAAATTTCTTTCCAACAGATAATGATTCCACATGAAAACCGAACCAGTGAGGCCATGTACAACAAAATGAACATTTCCCAACTGAACGCTATGATTCCCCAGGTTGGTGAAAACAATCCAGAAAAATGTCATCTTAACTAGTCATTTCACAAGTGATTGCATTTCAATCCCCTATAAATGTTTTCCTTGTAAGATCTACCTTGAGACTTCTTGGTTATCATCACCACATAAAATATCCCTTGTCTGTCCATTGGGATGCTTTCTGCTATATGGAATGGAAAACCTTTCCAACAGTCACTTAAAAGCTAAGTGTATTTTTTTTTCCATACAAGAACTGGGTTGTAGGCCAGAGGTGTGGGGGGGATGAGAGGATTCACCAGAGACAGAGTGGGGAGCAGAACAGGCAGATGGACCAAAGACACTGCTGAGGGGAGCAGCGGGCGAGACAGGAGAGGTCTGCTGCGCCTTATGTGGGTAGCTCCCTGGCTAGGGATAGAACTCAGGACGCAGCAGTGATAGTGCCGAGACTTAAACCCTACTAGCCACCAGGGAGGCTGAAAGCTAACAGAGATGACTGTTTAACAATGTTCTCAAAGCCCCAAATTCATTCTTTCCACGCCACTCTCCTTGGTGTGTTCACTCTTGACTTCCTGTTTGATGAGTTCTGGTCGCACAGAATCTACCACGGCCCCAGATATCACATCTGCCTCAGGGCAGGAAGGAGGGGGAGGGCCCATGGTGGCCATGGTTGATTCTTTTTTTTTTTAATTATTTTATTGTTTTCTTTTATTTTATATATTTTTAAGATTTATTTTTATTTATTTATACAAGCACTGGGTACAGTCAGAAGCGCGGGAGGGTGAGAGAATTCACCAGAGCCAGAGCGGGGAGCAGAGCAGGCAGAAGGACCGAAGCACACTGCTGAGGGGAGCAGCGGGTGGCAGGAGAGGTCTGCGCGCCATGTGGGACCCTCCTCCGGTGGCCGGGGAGCAGCCGGGGATCGAACCGTCACTGCAGAGGCTGCGGGCAGCTTCGCAACCCAGCGCTCAACCACTGCGCCACCAGGGAGGCCCCATGGTTGATTCTTTGACCAGAAAAAATAAAAGCCTTTCCAGAACGACCCCAAACATCTTCCCTTCATTTCTTGGTAGAATCGGGGCACCTGGCCATCCTTACTTACAAGTTTTCCACTTCAATTTCAAGTGTAAAAGAGGCAGAGAAGAAACAAATAAAAGGCTTGGAAATGATTTGGGGGGCAGCCTATTGAAAATACCAAGTTAGCGACGCTCTAAAGAATGGCCACGTGACTTTTTGCTGCCTTGTGTAAGAAAGGCTGTGCCAGAGAGGAAGACCGGAGATGGAGGGCATCCTGTCCGCGTGGACACGAGTGTGGATGCGAGCGGGGCACGGGAGGGCAGGGAGAGGGGGAGGAGAGAGGTCGATGGCGCGGAACCACGTTTCACGTGCGGTTCTGGCCGTGGGTCTGGGTGGCCGCGATCGGGTGTTAATTCTCTGCATTTGAGCCGTTGCATCTTTAATTATTTGCTCTAAAATTGCAAGCAGTGGATTAGGTTCAACTGACTCCGTTTGCCTGTCTCCTGGCTCGCTGCCTAACAGGCTGTGTTTTCTCTCTCTCCCTCCGCAGTTTGACTGGCTGGGCTACATCAAGAAGGTCATCGATGTCAGACTCTATCCCCACCTGAAGGACCTCGACCTCTCGGAGAGCGTGGTGGTCCGCGTCCCGCAGTACTTCAAGGATTTGTTTAGGATATTAGGCGCCGAGAGGAAGAAGTAAGTGCTTGGAATGTGCATTTTACCGTGGCTTTTGTTTTTCCTTTAAAGTATAAGGTCTTCTCTCTCACGTCCTTTGAACATGTGTTCTTGTAAAGAAAGTTACATCAGGGGCTGGGCTGCGAGGCTGCCCTCAGCCTCTGCAGGTCGTTCCCGGGCACCACGGGGCCAGGGTCCCACCAAAAAAAAAAAAAAAGAAAGTTACCTCAGAAGGGTCTTAGGGAAAATGTGGCACCTTGTCACAAACTGGCCTAAACCATAGTCTGGTGTGAGTTACTTGCTGCAGTGACAACACACACGTAATAATTTTGCCCCTAACCTTTAAAAACTATTGTTTTTAAATCGAGGTAACGGTGGTTAACAACACTGTGCATTTCCAGAGGTCTGGCATCACGCCTCTTCAGATGCAAGTCAACACACCCACCACCAAGTCACCACAGTCCTCCGCCCACAATCCATCGGGTCCCCTTCCCCCTTAACTCCTCTGCCCCCCCCAACTGTCCCCTCTGGTAGCCTCAGCTCTGGTCAGATTTCCAGGGTTTGTTTTGGTTGAGTTTTACCTGTTCCTGTGTTTTGTTTCTCTGTATTCCGCAAGAGTGATTTCATCTGGTATTTGTCTTTCTTTCTCTTTCTGATTTATCTTGCTTAGCATAATCCCCTCCAGTTCCGTCCATGTTGTTGGTTGCCAATGGCAAAGTTTCATCTTTGTAAAGTATTCTTTATCCGTGCAGCTGTCGTTGGGCGCTTAGGTTGTTTCCATAACTTGGCTACTGTAAATAGTCTGGAATGAACACGGGAGTTCCTACGTCTCTTTGAAGACAGAGCGGGGAACAGAACAGGCAGATGGACCAAAGACACTGCTGAGGGGAGCAGCGGGCGAGACAGGAGAGGTCTTAGTATTTTTTGTTGAGTAGAAGTGTAGAGTGGAATTCTGGATCGTAGGGTAGATGAATTTTTAATGTTTTGAGGCATCTCCATCCTGTTGTCCACGGGGACTGGTCCAGTCCGCCTTCCCCCTAACGGTGTCAAGGTTTCCTTTTGCTCCACAGTCTCACCAACACTTGTTTCTGCTTGTTGCAATGTGTTGCCCTGTATTTCTGGTCTTTCCCCACAGTTTTCTCTCTGAACGTCTACATTATTTATTAGTTTTGGGGACTGCTTATACAGTGATGTTGTTTTCTTTAGCTGCTTTTTCTTTTCTTTCTTTTTTTTTTTTCTGGTTTCTTTTTAGTCAATAAGTAATTTTGTGGCAAAAACAGAAGCCCCTAAATTGAAAAGCCATAACAGCACTCTGAGAACTGTAGACAAACTGCACTGATGAAACAGTAGTAACCGTCAGGTTTTTCTTTTTTCTTTTTTTTTCAATATTTACTTATTTATGCATAGGGGGATGAGAGAATTCAGTAGAGACAATGGGGAGCAGAACAGGCAGATTTACTGAAATATACTGCTGAGGGGAGCAGCGGGCGAGATAGGAGAGGTCTGCTGTGCCATGTGGGTTGCTCCCTGGCAGGCCGGGGATTGAATTCATGCCACAGAGGCTACGGATTGCTTCATAGTGCGGTGCTTAACCCCTTGCACCACTAGGGAGGCCCACTGTCAGGTTTTTCTTATTTTAAAGCCTGTTTTAGAATTCGTTGCTTTGCTACTTTAGCACTGACAGAAAAAGGAAATCCTAACGATGCCCAGGAAAGAGAAATTTTACATCTTCATCAAGCCATTCAATTTTGACTCTAGGAAATGAAGCACAGAAAGGTCAGTTAGTTTACAGACAATTTACTCATCTAACTGCTGAGACATGATTAAAAATCATATTTTTATTTGGACTCAGACAAGGCTGTATTGCCAGGAGTTACACATTAAAAAAAGGAACCTGCAAAAATTCTTGGAGTAAAGTGGCACATCCATTCCCATCTATGGAGACCCTTCGACGCCACTAAAGAGCTGCTGTTCTTTTTATGATGCTGTCTTCTTAGGGCAGAAGGAACGTGTGTTTGTCGAGGAAAGCACACAGGAAAGGGAGAGGAAACAGTTTCCATTCACTTAAAATTCCACCATTTAGAGATAAGTGATAGTTCTTGGAGCATTTTCTAAGTGAACGTTGAATCTAGAGGTGTGTATGTTGGGGGGCAGAGCCTGGCCATTCAGTGTGTGCTCCATGTCACCTCAGGCCCTGGGCAAAATGCAGATTCCAAGGTCCCTTCACAGAGGTTGACATAGCCCATTTGGGCAAGACCCAGGAATCTGTATTTTAACACTTGCCTCAGGAGAGTCCTACCATTCGTTTTCTGGGTGGGCGTTGGGGTGGGGGGTGGTGGAGGGAACTCACAGCTTTAGAGAACTTATTCATGTGTACTTCCTAGGTCTGAAATACTATTCAATATGACCCAAATGACTTTTGGCGTCCACGTCTTTGAGTTAGCACATTTTAAATTTTGCTGGTAATTTCTTTTGAAAGGTGGCATTTGCTATGCTGGATATGCATTCTTCAGTGAGTTACTTTCTTCCAGTATCTATGTTATCTTCAGTTGCAAATTCCTAGGTGCTTTTAGAAATTATATGAATTTTATTTCCAAAAAAGCCTAACTTAAAAACGGGTGGTAGACTGGGCCTTAACTCACTGGGTTAGAAACATCATCTCTCTGGTGAGGACTCTCCTTGACAGGCTCAGGACCTGTCATAACAAAACGGATGAGAGAGATTTGAATCTGGTTCTTGTCACAATGATAACTTGGACAAATGTATACACAATGAACAATAGTAGAGAAAATAGGGATAGAAAAATTACCTGCAGATATTATGTACATATACAACTTTATTTTAAGATAAAGATAAAACCCAGATCTCTTTCCTGTATTCTTCAACAGCCAATTCATCAAAAATAACTTGTATTCTGTGTATTCTTATGCGATCTCAAGGCACAGTTTATAGCTTGAGAAGATGGATAACTTTATTTGCATAGCACACTATATTTTTTTTTTACACTATGAAACATGTTTGATTCTCACTTGTGTGGCATTCAAGGGTGGTCGAGGCATTGTCCCATAGGGTGCCCCTCAATACCATGTTAGTCAAGACATGCCAATTGCTGTAACATGCAAGTCCCCACTCTCCTTGTCTTGGACAGTAAACATTGTCCTCTGCTCAGGGAGCTATCCTATGTAGGGCCCCTGAAAGGCAGCTTTCCCCCAGTAGTGGCTCAGGAACCCAGGCTCCTTCTGTCTTGTGGCTCTGCCCTTCTCTGGATTTTCGGAACCTTCCCCATTCAGTTGGTGGATGAGGAAAGAGAACGAGAGGGGAGGGTGGCCCAGGAGGTTTTTCTAGGCAGGCCTAGATCCACCTGACTGTGTGAAGGGCACTAGAAGTTGGGTGGTAGGTGAGATGAGACTTATAGATGTACTCCAGAAATGTATATAGTTTAGTAAATAAATGCAATTTTATGTAAAACAGAAAGAAAATCATAAGGAAAACACACATACACACACAAATGCAGAATCTCAGGCTTTGTCCCAGACCAGCTGAATCAGAAGCTGTGATTCCAGGGGATTCACATACCCTTGAAAGTTTAAGAGGGCTTTTAATACACACTGCTGGCCCCACCCCACAGTCTCTGATTCAACAGGTCTGGGGCCAGGCCGAAGAATGTTCTAGCAAGTTCTCAGGTGATACTACAGCTGCTGGACCAGGGACCCACTTGAGGAACCACTGCCTTAAGCACGTACCTCTGGGCACCCTCTGGGCCTTAGGAAGATCTCTTTGGTTTTGAGAACATTTGAGAAGAAGCTGTTGGGCTCACCTCAGGTGTTATGACTGAAAGTAGCAACATCAAGCTATGGAATCTGAATGCCTAAATACGTTAGTCTGGGATTTGACATCTCTTGGAAGTCCCTTGACCTCTGACCTTGAAATTCTTTATCTGAGTACGGGGATGGGATAACAATAAGCACCCCATAGCACAATCATGAGGATCAAAGAAGTTCTTTTATGATCTCCTAAATGCAACACAAATATAAAGGAAGATCTAGGGGCAGGAAAAGCTTCTTGAAAAAAGTCTTCCGAGTCAGAGGGCTTGGGAAATGCTTTCCTGCCGCTCTCTTAGTTGTGGACTTGCTCCTGGGATGCTCTGCTTTCCTCTACTTTATTTATTGCCATTTGGGGAAATTACCATACTGCTGAAAATGCTTTTTGGAAAAAAAAATATATGTGTTATTTTCAAGGACTATTGCTGAGTCTGATTTCTGTTTTGTTTTTTGATGTATCTGAGCATTAGGTGGCCGCGATTCAGTCATTATGGTCAGATCTGTTCCCGGCGTGGTAATATCAGCACTCCAAAGCTGCGCTCCCCGCGGCTGGCAGTATATTTAGAACACACTGGAGCAGCTCATCAGCGCCATTGTGTCGCCCAGCCAGCCTCCCGCAGCCCCCGCGCTGGCTCCGGCCCTTGTCCTTAAGCTGCCGTCTTTCTTAGTCATGCCTGGCCCGCGAGGCCTCCCGCGCCAGCTCCCTCCGCTTCCTTCGTCCCGCAGGTTTCTGTCAGGTGCCTCGGTCAGAATATTTGGGGGTCTCTGTGCGTCCTAGGGAGTCGCGGCCGCGGGGGAGGCCTGAGGGCGCAGCCTTCTTTGGCCTTAGATCCTGGCTCTGGTCCCTTCACCGTCGCCTAGAAGACATCGGCCCTCCAACTTGCCTGCATGTTGGACTTCCACTGGGGTGGGGAGGGGGGCGCTGGAAGATCTTATCTCTGCTAGGGCCCCCTAGAGATTTTCATCTGCCTGCCCTGGGGAGGCATCCGGACTCTTGAAGGTCCCGAAGTGATTCTTGCGGGAGGAGAGGCTGGTGGCTCTAGGCCCCGTTTCCTGCTCTGTAAAGTGAGTACACGGTGTTGTGGGGGTGATAACGGGAGGTGCCAATGTGTGGTATGATTTCATGGGCGCAGGAAAGACCCACTTTCAAGCCGGGTCTCTACTCTGTCTCTACCACACCAACTACGCCTATCCCGTCCCGTTAGCCCGGCTGCCCTCTGGAAGGGAAGCGCCCTCGAATTCACGTAGGGTGCTCCGCGGGCCCGGAGCGCCTTCCACCTGCACCGGTGGCTCCAGCACGGCTCACACCCAGTAGGTAGCACACTGAGGCTGAAGAACTTCCAGGCTTTGTACTAGGATCCGCATCTGCCCCATAGACATTCTGCACGCCGGGCCTGCTGCTGCCTGCGTCTCCCCACGCAGCTCGCCCTTCCGCCCGCCCCTGCCGGCGATAGCCCTGCTCTCCATCTCCTCCAACCCCGGAGCTCTCTTTCTGTGAGGTCACATGTCCACAGTTCATGGTCCTCATTCCCAATCCGTACCTTCCCACCCCTCAGGCATAGCCCAAGCCCCGTCCCTCTCACGGAACCTACTCTTCTCCCTTAGTGTGAGGTGTGCGCTCCGTCCATGAAGTATCTGGCAGACTTGGGCGCTGGGGTCTGGGGTCTGCCAGATCCTTATTTTTGCGCTTGCCTCATTTGCCCTGCTCAGTTAACAGCCCCAGGAGATCAGACAGAGGCTGTATCTTTCTCAGCTTTCCATCTTCCCAGGACCTACAACTCTCAGTACCTACCTGGGTGCTCAGGAGGTGCTGACTGAATGACAAAGGGACCCCTCTGTAGTTACTCTGCGCCCCTTCAGTGCAGACACCTGGTGATGTGACCAAGCTGAAATCTGAAGCCCAGACTCTAAAGTCTCTGAATGGAGGTGCTGGGCTGGGGTCTCTGCTTTCCTCGTGGCACGAGCTCAGCGTGTACTTGTCATCTTGTTCAGGAGCAGGCGTGTAAAAGCCCTCACCTAAGACTGCATGTTTCTGATAGTGACCCCAACAGAGCACACCTAGGCGAGGGCCAGGCTTTGCTGAGGAGAGCAGTGGTCTTTGAGGGGGGGTACACATACCCCAGCCAGACCCACTGAGTTTGAAAAGAAACTTTAGGAGATATATGTATATATATATATATATATATATATATATATATATATATATATATATGTCATTTTTTTTGGAAAGAACAGTTCTACCTTGTAGTGTCCATAGACACTTGATTTGATCTGTGTGGCACACACCGGGGCGGGGGGGGGGGCTGTCACCTTCACTGCTTTGTTTTCACTCAGTCTATTAAAAATAATCTTGAGTTGTTTACAATCACCGGTAGGTTTAGTATTATCTGGCTTGTTGCTCGCAAATGGGACAAGTGGCCTAACAAATTTTGCAGAGAAACCGGAATGAAAGCTGTCACTCACGGTGCATATCCAGTGACTGGCAAGAAAATGGCAGCAGTGGTGCTTCTCCCACTCTGGGGTGCCATCCTGGTTAGCCAGATGGCAGCGGCACAATGGTGGTTGGACCCGGTGGGACAAGGATAGGGACAAACACGTTTGGGAATGGCAAGGGAGTGGGTGAAGGTTTACGTCTGCTGCCGCGGCTGTGTTAACCTAGTCCCGTGTGGATAATGTGTCTTGAAGGAATAATTTAGACGTTTGAAAAGATCTTTATTTCATTTTCTTTCAAGATGTCTATTTCTATGTTTGCTAAGACACTCCTAATATGTCAGCTCATTAGTGTATCTCTATATAGATGAGTTGACTCTACAGATGTGGGGTACAGGCAGACTTCATTGCTGGCCGAGCATCCAGTGGGTTAGAGCGCCATGCGCAGGCAAGTGTGAACAGTTCCCCATGGGCAGCCACCGTCATTATGCCATGCTGCTCTCTCATGGCTGGCTGACCCCACAGCCATCTCAGGAATGTGGGTTACTAGTCACCATGGCAATGGCACAGCTGGGAGGGGACGGATGAGTTATTAAAAATTCATCACTATTGAGTTAGAAATGAGCTCGGGTCACACATCCTTCTGAGATCAGGAAGTCCTTTGCTGATAGAAAAAGGCAACAGGGGCCTCCCTGGTGACGCAGCGTGTTGAGTGCAGCACTGTGGAGCTGTCCGTAGCCTCTGTAGTGCGGGTTCGATTCCCGGCCGGCCAGGGAGATACCCACATGGCGAGGCAGACCTCTCCTGTCTCGCCTGCTGCTCCCCTCAGCAGTGCCTTCAGTCTGTCTTCCTGTTCTGCTCCCTGCCCTGTCTCTGGTGAATCCTCTCACCCTCCCGTGCCTCTGGCCTATACCTCAGCTTTTGTATAAATAAATAAATCTTAAAAAAAAAAGAAGATAGACCAAAAAAACTTTAAAAAAGAAAAGAAAAGAAAAGAAAAGAGAAAGGCAATATTTCAAAATGTAACAGATTTTTAAAAATATAAGTGTTATGGACATTACTGGAGCATGTGGGGTTGTTCCTGGATTTGAAAGTGAGCAACAAAAAAAAATCTGGAATTTACTCTTTGCCAAGTATTTTACTATTGACTTGAACCTCATACTGTAAGGTGGGGATCACCCTTGCTGTGTGACCGGAAAGATGAAATGGTGCTAAAGCGCCACACACAAGCTCATGTGTCTAGGAAGAACAGAACAGGGTGCCGAGCTAGAGAACTGGCGTTCGCCAGAGGATGACCGCTCATTTGTAGAGGCAAAGACTACATCTGCATTTTATCCAGCCACCTAATAAATTCGAAGGTATCAAGAATTTCTTGACATGAAAGGTTGGCCCACAGTGGACTCCAGGCCCTGAGAGGGAAAGCAAATTGTTCACACTGAGACCTGGGCCTGGGATCTTCACTCCAGCTCTCTGCGTTAGGTGGTGAAAAGCCAGCCAAGTCTGGTCGCGCCTGTTGACATTGTGTCATCCTGGGTCATGTCTGAAGTGAAAGTGGTGCAGTTTTGTAGGAGCAAAAGGTCCTTCCCTGGAGCTTTGCCAACAGTCTTCCCCAGGGTGCTCTGCGGAGCAGCAGCTGTCAACCAGAATACAATAAAGGTGCTTCTCTCTCTCTCTGTTCACAGGACCATTGCCAACTATTTGGTGTGGAGGATGGTGTATTCCAGAATTCCAAACCTTAGCAGGCGCTTTCAGTATAGGTGGCTGGAATTCTCACGGGTAAGTTTTAAAGAGATTGCATGGTTACATCCCTGGATAAGTTTACATGCTGGAACATCTGGATATTAACCCATCCAATAAAAATCACCTTCAGGGATTGGGCAGAGGGAGTTTTGCAGCTGCAACCTTACATTTTTTTCTGTTTTCTTTTCATTGCATGTAACCCTTGCATAGCGGAAGGTACACTCAAGCCTTACTTTGGTTTTTTAAAAATATTTTTCTTGAGTTAATATTGGTTGACGTTGTTGTTTCCATAGTAAATGTGCACGACGCTCCTTCAGGCACTGCTGCCACAGTGCACCCACCCCCAGCTGACCCATCGTCCACAACCGTAGATCCTGTGCTCCCTCCTGCCTCTGTTCTTGTCCTACCCGCCCCTCCCCGGCCCCCTCACCCTGCCCCTCTGACTTCCCCTATTCCACGGTCAGGTGTCAAGGGGTAGTTTTTTCTTTAGTTTGACTTTATTTGGCCCTGCATTTGGCTTTTCTCTATTCCACATATGAGTGACACCGTGCGGTGTTTGTCTTTCTCCTTCTGTCAAGCCCTACTTTGATGGGGGAGTTAAAGATAATTAGGGCATGACGTGGGAATACCCCATTGCTTTTACTCTCCCCCTCTTATCAACTTATTCCCATCCCCTCCCCCCAGTGTCTTTCAGGGGATCACTATAACTAATTTCAGTAATTCTCAGTGATGTGTTTGTAACTATCCTTCATTTTCAATATTAATATTCAGAATGAACACAGTAGATGTAGTAGATGGGAAAGTTTCATCTTCAATTTAGGGATAGAATTTTGTCTTTAACTTAACCTTGATATTCAATCTGCTCCCCGTCACCTTCACCTGCCTCTGAATTTTGTTTCTCTTCCTCTCTTGCTCTCCTCTTAACCTAACAGGTGTTACTCTGGTCTCTCAGAAGCTTTTGTCTGAGTAATTCTCTGACCAATAAAGTTTGTGTGGGTTTTTGTGTGTTTTTTTTTTTTTTTACACGCTAAAGATATTTTGACTAAAAAAAATTTAAGTTAATTTTTCTTTCACTTTAAATTTCAGTGAATGACAAATTTTATTAGCTATGATTTCATTAAACAGACACTTTAGTTATTAGAGACACTGGTAAGCACAGAAATCCTTCGTGGGTCGTTACTCTTGAGGAGAGTAACACAATTATTGCAGATACCTTTTGGCCTTTTAAAGTTATTTAGAATATTGAACTTTATAGAGAACAACATAAAACAGCTATATATAGTGAGGCCATCTCAAAGGGTTAAGCTACAAAACAAGTGGAATGTGTGTGTGTGTGTGTTGGATGTGTATGTATTTGTTGCCTATGGCACATAAAGCTTGGTACCCAGCTGTTTCCCACCCCCACTGCGCAGAGAATGAGACAGGTGTGAGAAGCAGCGTGTGAAAATTCGAGGTTAGGTATGAAGGGATGTTTCTTGAGCATAAAGTGCTAAGTATAATACTGATTTGCCAAAGAGTGCTGTAGGATCTCTCTCTAGAGGTTTTAACAATAGATGTCATTCATTACCTCTGAGAGGGGTTGTGTTCCAGAAGCAGGGCAAGACCAGAGGAGCTTAAGAGTTAATCCCATTTCCCCTGTGCCAACAGCCTGGTCCAACGCTGAGCAAGGGATGCTGAGCAAGGGGCTCCTCCCTCCCTCGCTGCCTGCCTCCACTTTGCGTTTTCAGCACTCCAAGCTCCCATCCTCCAAGGACAACTTAATATTTATTTCTTTGCTTTCATCATCAAGAGTAAACCTTTGATTCTTCCAGGTTTTGCTTTGGAAACTACTTGTTTGTAAATGTTTTCTTGTAATGGTTTAATTGGGACAGATGGGAGAAACATTTACCTCTGTTTTTCACTTGGCTACCAGTGTATCCTTTGCTACGACATGTTAGTGTGCTCCCTGGGTTGTTCACGATGAGCCATGCTCTCCTGGTCTGCCTCGTGAGTATCATAATGAGCCAGGAAACCCTCGCTGGCCCAAAAAGTTGACCACTCATTGATTCTAGAAATTTCCTGGTGGAGATTTCATTTTTAATAAGTATTAAATACAATCTGGATTCCTGGACAGCATTCCCTCATGTCCCTGTTAACTGCAGAAAAGTTATTGCATTCTCCCAATCCTTTGTTTAATGGGGAAAATTGGCAGGAAAAGAAAAAACACATTACTTCCCACTGTCAATATATTTTCATTTAGTTTTAAATGTAACTTGTGTCCAGCGGCAATATTTTATTCATCTGATTTCACTTCTGGCTCTACTGTCTGACACACATATGGGTTGAGGTGTTCATTATTTTGTAGACTGTTTTCTTCAGGTTGTTTGAATTTTCTTTGCCATGGGTTTTATCCAAGTGAAGCTCAGTCTGGATGGGTTGTCTCCCACAGGTAATCCAGGGGACCACAACTCTGTTGCCTCAATGGGACAAATGTGTAAACTTTATTGAAAGCGCCCTCCCTTATGTTGCTGGAAAAATGTTTGTGGATGTGCACTTCCAGGAAGATAAGAAGGTGATGGTAAGTGCTGCTCCCTCGCTGGGAAATGCGATGGTGTCAAACCAGAGCTGACAGGGACATGGTACCTGGCCTTTGTCAGCCTTCTCGTGCTGTGAGCCTTGAAGCTAGGTAATAGGTTTGCTTTAAAGAGGAATTTTCGCAGTACCACATGAATTAAACATGCAGTCTCAAACACACCCAAATGTAGAATATAGTTGTAAAAATTAGCAGTGAGAAAACAAGCATGAATGCATGCCATCAAGAGCTGGAATTTCTTCTGGACAGGTTAAATGTACGAAGTCAATGTTAGAAAAAACAGGCTAGATGGTTTTATGATTAGACACTTGAACCATTGTCTTTACAAAAGGTAGACATTTTCTGGTCAGGTCTCTGTTTCAGAGATAAGGACGCCAGCAACCCAGAGATGAAGTGATTTGCAGTGTATTTCACAACTATTAAATGACTTGGAAATAGAAATAAAGTGTAGGATTTTCCCCCTTTCTCCTTGTACTGTTTTTTAAAATGTCTGACATTTATCTCACAGAAACACTATTTTTTTAAAAAATAAATGTCAAAAGAAATCCTTTTATTCTGGGAAAATCTAAACACATACTAACATGGAAAGAGCAATGCAATGAACTTCATTATCCTCATGATCCTTGACTGTTGTCATTGCTGAAATGGCATGAATGGCTCAGCCAGATACATCTAGTGAAGAAAGGTGAGGTTTAGTTTCATGCATTTAGTCAACAAATCTTTATTGAACACCTATTATAGGCCAGGCACTGTTCTAGGCACTTGGGGGTACAGAAGAGAACAAAATAGACAAAGATCCCTGACCTTCTTGAGTTGACATTCTCATGGGAGAAAGCAATGACAAATCCACACAAGCATACATTAACAAGTGTGTCTGGGGAAGCAGGAAAATGAGGTCAAGGAAAGTAGAATCTGAGGTGCTAGAAGGGGGGGGGTGGGTTGTAGGATTACATAGGATGGTCATGGAAAGCCTCACTATGAAGATTTGGCAAAGATTTGAAGGAGAAGAAAGAATTAGATACGGCAGACATTTGGGGAAAAGAGTGGTCTAGGCAGAAGGAACAGTTAGTGCAAAAGCCCCAAGGAGCAATGTGCTTGAAGTGCTCCAGGAAAAACAGGGAGGTCAGAGCACTAACAGAGATGGTGGCCATTTGTAAGACCCTATAGGCCACTGGAAGGATGTTGACTTTGACCCTGAGTGAAGTGGACAACTAATGAAAGTTTTTTTTAGCAGAGGGAGGCATAATGTGACCTGACTTACATTGACTGGATCGTCCGGGCTGCTGGGTTGAGAAGAGACTGTAGGGTGTCAAGGATAGAATTTGGGAGACCAGGGCCTCCCCCTGTGGCACAGCGGTTGAGCGCTGGGCTGCGAGGCTGTCCGCAGCCTCTGCAGTGCCAGTTTGATCCCCCACCGCCGGTGAGGGTCCCACATGGCACGCAGACCTCTCCTGCCGCACCCGCTGCTCCCCTCAGCAGTATGTTTCGTCGGTCTGCCTGTTCTGCTCTCCACTCTGGCTCTGGTGAATTCTCTCACCCTCCCGCACTTCTGACTGTACCCAGTGCTTGTATAAATAAATAAATAAATTGTTAAAAAAAAATTCGAGAGACCAATTGGACTATTGGAGGGACCAGGCCAACGATGATGGTGGCTTGGACCACGTGAAAGCAATGGAAGTTGTGCGAGAGGGTTGGATTCTGAATACATTCTGCAGGGTAAAACCAACATAATTTGCTGACAGGTTGGATGAGGGATCTGAGAGTAAGAGTTTTGAATCTGGTGAAATGGATATACAGAGTTGCTGTTGACTGAGAAGGGGAATACTGGGGGGTGGGGCTAGGAACCAGATTTGATGGAATGCTCAGGAGTTTAATTTTGATTGCATTGAATTTAAGATGTTTTCAGACTCCCAAGTGGAGAAGTCAAAGACGAGTAGGGCATAGGAGTCTCGAGTTCAGGACAGAGGTCAAGGCTGAAGACAGACATTTGGAAATTATCAGTGTACATCAGACCAGGTGAGATCTCTAAGGGGAGTGAATGTAGCACAGAGAATGGGGCATTGGGATGAGGTATTAGGTTGGCAAAAGGAGAGGGAACTAGCTAAGGAGATGGAGCAGCAGTGACCAGTTTTAGGTAATAGTAAGTCAAGAGAATGTCCTCGAAGCAAAGTAAAGAAAGTAAATCAAGAGGAGGAAGTACCCACCTATGTCAAATGCTGTTAAGTTCAACGATTATCGGATTTTGCAGTGGATTAAATGGACCACTGGTTAGCAGCATGTTTTCATCTGTGAAGTTGATGAGAACTGTTTTGGTGAAGTTGTGGGAGTGAAGGTTTGATCGGGGGAAAGGGTTTGAGGGTGAACGGAAGCTGAGTGGAAACAGCAAAGACACATTGAAAAAAATAAGCTTTTCTGGAAAGTGGAGCAGTGGTGCTAGAGAGGTGGTGCTGGAGTCAAAGAAGGTTTTTCTCAAGATGAGAGACCTAGCGTGTTTATATACTGGTGGGAAGCAGGGGAAATCGATGATGTGGGAGAGAAGAGGAGTTGCTGGATAATGTCCTGGGGGTGACAAAAGGGATGGGATCCAGTGCACATGTGCAGGAACGGGTGTTAGATAAAGTCTAGATGATTCCTTTACAGCAACGCGGCTAAGGCAGAGTTTGCGGGTGCCGAGGCTGGTAGGTGGGTAGGTTGCCATGGTGGTGGTAAAGGTCTGTAGGAATTCTCCTTGAATTCTTTCAGTGTCTCCATGAACTAGGTAGAAAGGTCACCAAATGAGAGTGAGGATGGATGAGCAGTGGGCGCTGCAGGGTGGAGGAGAGAAGAGAAGGTGTGCAGTGTTTGCCCAGGGCAGTGGAGCGGGAGTAAATCGGGGACTCCAGTGCAGCTGCATGGAGACAGTAACAAAGTCAGGTGAGCTTGGAAGTCACCCTTTGAAAGAGACACTCCTCAGCTGGAAGCCTGTTCTTCTCCATCTGTTTCAGCTGCATTGGAGGGGAGGGTGTGTTGTGAATTAGAAATTTGGATTTAGCCTGGTTTTTTTTTTTTGGCTTGCATTTTCTCTTGTGATGTATCATATTTTACAAAGGGCATGAAGCAAAATATCTAGGCACGACAAACGAATAATAATCCATTATAGTGGATCAGACACAAGTAGGTGAGCAGCATGGATGCAGGGGGGCCCATCAACACTGAATTTTAAGGCAAAGACATAAAAAATTCTGTTAAATCATTGTCACTCACATGGTCGGTATTATGGACTGCTGCACCACGCTAACCACTGGCTGGCATCATGTACGATGTGCTGGTTGGTTTTGGAATACCATAAATCTAAGTACACTTACCTGTAGTGATTTATTTTGGCTGTCTCCTGATATGTTGGGGAATTTTCTGCTGAGTTTAAGACTTCATATTTGAACCTGAAAGTTCTTTTCTCGCAAGTAATTCCACTGAAGAATTAATGCCTTATTTCAAATATTCAATATTCCCAATGTGTATTTTCTTTCACTCCTTGGTCGGAGTAGATGGATTGAGAATTTATCAGATATTCCCAGTGGTGATGCTATAAGCTCTGGGAAGGACACAAACCAACGGCTGATGGGGGTGGGTTTATATATATATATATATATATATATATATATATATATATATATAGAGAGAGAGAGAGAGAGAGAGAGAGAGAGAGAGCAAGGATTTTTTTTTTGGCAGTAGAATTTTAAGTAATATGAAAGGTATGTGGATTAATTTGTTTTTCTCAGTTTTGGTGTGAAAGTCCCTTTTTTATTTGTCAGGGTGTAACATTCTGGAATGAAGTTGATTTTGGCAATTTCCCCTTTAGTTTGATGTATGTGGGAGATGGAGGTAGTTTGATAGTCTCACAGATACTCATGTATTTTACATAAAGTTATTTGCCTCCCCAGTGTTGAAGCTATTTGCCTCAGGGAATACTGAAGTTGGAAACTTTAAAGAGAAATGTCTGGCTTTTCATAGCTTTGTTACAGGGCTCCCATCCAAGAACCACCTGGAACCACTGATTTATTTGAAAAACATCCCGTATTATTAGCTCCAGCCCAAAGAAAAGGAAAACAGAAATCCCCAAGGAGCCAAATTCCAGAGACTAAGAGGAAAGGCTGCCATTTTGTTTATAAAAAAGGGTTGTTAAGCAAATGAATACTGTCAGAAGGTTAACTTCAGGTACTGCTCAAACTTCAGCGTGTACAGGAGGGTCTTGTTAAAATGTAGAATTTCATTGCAAGGCCTTGGCTTCATTCATCTGTTTGTCACCAGATTCCACCCCGCCCCCCTCACCTCAGACCCAACCTTGGTGATCCCTGTGGGCAGGGCAGGCCTCTGACTTGAGGTACTTCCCCTTACCAAAGCCTGATGCATTTGTGAAAGTCATCACTTCAGTTTTCAGAGCCCTGAAAATGTCTGTGATTCCGAGTGGTTTAAAAGGACTGGGCTAAACCCTGTGTGAGGGTCTCCCAGCTAAGAGAGGGGGAGAGAGGAAGCCGGGGAGGGACGAAGTGAGGTGTTTTCCTGAACTATTTCGATTTCCTTTGAAAACTAAAGGTTTTTAGTTTTTTAGTACCTAGGTTCCTCCAGGGGACCTGCTTTCCTCAGCAACTCTGTTTCTGTAGCCTCCTAAGGGTGGGGACGGCCCAGGTGCTTCTGGTTGGCACCCTGCATTCCAGAGGCTGAGTGGGAGACAGCAGTGCCCTCAAAGGTTTCCTTTGCACAGGAGAATGTGCCACCTCCCCACACCTGCCAGCCTAGAGGGCCTGGCTTCCTTTTCACCAGGAAACCACTTAGTGCCTTGTGACTCTTCCTTATGCCTTCCCCTGTGCAAGTGTGTGCGTGTGCACGGATTCACACGGACACACTCAGACTCACTCGCTCACATATAACTATGTGATTACAAATGTAATTAGAAACAGAACACGTGTAGAAAACGGAGAGCTCTTCAATAGAAAGCCACCTTAAGG